CTTTTGCTCATTCTTGTAGAAAGGATTCCAACCTACGCTCATCACCATGGGCCAAACTCCTCCATCCTTCGCACCGCCGGCCTCAGCGTCCAGATCGACGCTGGCGTATCCGAAGTACACGCCGGTCTCTGTCAGCTTGCTGGGCGGGTCGAATACGCTGGAAGGCAGATTGGCTAGGGGCGGGACGAGGAGAGAGGGATGGGAAAGAGAGAGCGTTGAGAGGGAAGAGAAATGATTAGCATGCTGCAAGGCAACGCAGGGGAGCATGATACCGATTTGGGGGGATGCGTGTGTGTTGCCGTCATCACTGCCATTGAACCCAGCGGCGCGCAACTTTGAGGCATCTGGCCCCGCTTTGTTGCGTTGGTTTGAACATTCAGAACAAAGCGCATACATGCGCATCTCCCGCGAGCGAATGCGAAGAAGACCTTGTCAAAGCTGAGGCACCAGCTTGCCAGCTTGCAACTGTGCCAACCAGCCCAACGAAAAGGGTGAGGAGCGCAGACTGACCTGTAGCGCATCCAAGCTCCTTTCCACCCCTTCCGAACCCCTTTTGCACATCTCCTCGCAGGTAGATCGGATAGGTCTTGCCCTCTTCGTGAGACAATCCCGCATCGTCTCCGATCACGGATGGTCGCGTTCGTCTAGCTTCGGCATAGGCAGCGGGCGTGGGTGCGGGTGCGGGTGAGGGTGAGGGGGAAGTCTGACTGTCGGATGGGCCCGAAGTGGATGTCGCCATGACGAATGACGTGAATGTTCTGGCAAGAGATCGCCTTGCGAGATGGACGATGCTCAGAGTAAAGGGGGAGTGCGAGAGGTATGGAGTCAATCGATTGAAGGGATATGGACACTTTAAACTTCGCACCCAACTTGGACTGGCACAATCACGCGAATCACTGCCGACGTACAAAGTCGTGAGTGATGCAGATATGGCGAATTGAATGTGGCCGCTAGGTAAAAGCTGTAAGGAGTCGAGTAAGCTTACTCGACTTCGCCTGAGCAACTCTGACTCCAACGGAATCCGAATCACCAATCCGTATGATTCGTGGTGGGTGTGCAAGGAATTAAGCGCGGATAGCTTTGAGTGGAGTGCGCGAGTCATGAGTCTCACTCAAAGGTCACGTGAGCGTCCACCAAGTGCACCGCGCGATGCACCACAGCAACGCCCACGCGCAGTCATAAGTCCTAGCAGCACGGATCACTCGCGCGTGACTTGACTCCACTTGGGATGGCAGCTGATGCGCGTCACGATGAGAGGTGCTTGCGATCGAGCATGCAGCAACGACGCAGCGTACCGCATCAACCACACCACCCACCATCTTTGCGGCAGGCGCCCACAGCAACTCGTGACTAACCGATACTGCTCGATATATCTGCTTCGATCCGCTGTCAAAGTATCGGTAAGCGCTCGCGTGAAGATCGACCAACTTGGATTCCGGCCTTGATCTTGGAGGCGAACCTTCGTCCGAGCGAGAGCTGGCTGCCATGGTGAGTCCGAGTATGGCGAGGGTGCAATGCGTAAAGGGGTCCGCCAAATACAGCTGCGAGGTGCAAGGGAAGCTCCACATACTCACTTCTTTGCTGGCACGCTGTCTTGTCGCGCAGTCGAGCAGCAAGACGACGAAGGAGGCGGCTATTCGTCAGCTTCGTCAGATCACCAATGCTACTCAACCCGACGCTCAGAGGTTGTTGAAAGCGAACGGATACAGGATCGAAGCTGCTGTAGATGCGTTCTATGCGGATGATGCGGCTATGAGCAATGCTGCCAAAGCGGCTGGAGGAGGGCTTAAAGGGGAAAAGGAGAGCAAAGAGAAGCTGGGAAAGCTCTTTGATCAGTACAAGGGTGAGCGCATCAAACTTCGAGACAATTGCTGAGAAGCGCGCCGCAGCGATCAGAGAGCGATGTTGAACCCCCCCCCCCCCCCCCCCCCCCC